CCTGCAGTAATGTGTGTAACTCAAGACCCTTAGGTTCTAATGAGTAAAGCATACTGCTGGGATGGGCTTACCAGTAATAATTGTGTTTTTCCAATAAAATGTTTTGGTATTGGTTTTAGTGGCAACCCTAAGTTCCGTCCCCTAGGAGAGGGCCATGCAGCCATGACACAACTGAAAAATCTGGTTGAGTTCTCTTGAACAGAATTCTACATGTGTAGATTTACTTGGTTAATTGACCATGTGAGACTCAGCCACTGGCACATGCACAGACCAGGGATAATTTTTATAACATGAAGTCAAACCTGTATTTATGTTAATGGTCTCCCTTAGCTTGATGAAAGGTTATCTTAGCATTTAAGAGATAGTACCCATCAAAGCGGCCCAGCTTATGTGGCTTAAAAGAATAGATTTTGCTTATTCCTGTATACTGAAAGACTTTCATGTACTAACACTAAAACCACAATCCACTTGATCTGATCTTTGAAATTTATCGAGTTCAAGTTTATCTGCTTTGTCAATCTGAACTAATCACACAAGCACGAATTTGAAAAAGTTTTGGTGATCAAAACTCGACAAGTTTACTTTATTTACCCATTCCTTCGTCGGTTGAAACTTGGAAAATCTTTACAAACAAGCTGTGTAAACTTTTTTTCGCTTAAGCTGGCATTTTAAGCCAGAAAAATCCGTATTTTGGAAAGCATCTTTTTGCAAAACAAGAACTGATTTTACGTGCGAGACTTCGTGTACAAGACTTTGCGACTGGTAAGAATTTTTCTTTTAATCAGTGCCATAACAAAGAGTTTTTTTTTTTTCAGGAAAGTTATTTTATAAAAGCAATAGAAAACTTTTTTCTGGTGTTTGCCTAGCCTGATATAAACACTCAAGGGGTTGGGAGAATTCTCGACAGTTATGCAAACCCGAGACGAAGTCGAGGGGTTGCATAACTGTCTCGAATTCTCCCAATCCCTCTCGTGTTTATATCAGTCTAAGCAAACATGGAAAATGTTTTCTATTGCTTAAGTCCTAACACTAAAACCACAATCCGTTTGATCTGATCTTTTAAATTTATCGAGTTTATCTGCTTCGTCAATCTGCACTACATAATTATTAGAGTTTGTAGCCGTTATCCAATTCAAACGACTGCGCCATTTTTAAAGTAAAAATGATACTTTAGTGACGCTCTGTGTAGTTAGACTGCTTGCAGTCCGCCTTTTCTCTTAAAATCCATTTAGTTCTTATCTCAGCCAGCGCGATTGCAAAGCCACGAAGTTATGTTACAATAAGGCATGAGGACCAGATGAGAAAAGACGGAATGCGGACTCTATTGTAGTAAACAAACTCTCCGTCAGCCCAGAAATGGAGTAACCGATTGGTCAATTTTACAGCTGTTGACAGATCATTGACTGGTCTGTGGTGGAGATGCAAGGGATAAAAATAGTCACGCGTCACAACTAACTGCAAACAATTACGAAACTAGCGGTAATATAATAATTGCTTGTAAACTAAAACATTTAAGAATATCTTACGGAAGGAAACTGCTGTAAATTTCCTTAAGGGAAAGCAATTCAAGGCAATCTTACTGGATTTACAAAAGGAAAATTTTTCAGTTGTTTATATCTATTTATACATGTATACATTGTACTGACCAATAGCTTTAAAATAAGAGGAAAAATCGTGGTATAAAAGTCCGTTTATAATATTTATTGCAATGAAAGTGAGAACTCACTGTAGAAATTTTTCGCCTGGTAATTGCAGCACAAAATTTCCGTCGTGATTTAGGCCAGTGGTTTCTACAGCTTGAATTGAGCGATCTAAGCATCTACTGCACTCCAACTGATTCAATTGTCATTTCACTGATGCTGTTTCACGTCTGCTTACGAAAAAATCAACAGTCAGTTGATGAACATTTAACGTATAGCTTGTCGATGTTTGAAAAAGGTGGATTTGTACGCAGGTAAAGAAACCGAACAGAGAAAACAGTCCATGATGCAGAGAATGATCCCAGTGAAATGTGAACCTTGCTTGTTGTTTACGTAGATAGATCATTACTCAAACATAAAAACATACGGTAGCTAGATGCTCTTTTTCAATAATTGCTTGTATTACACAAAAGCCGTTGGAAACTAGGTGCCTTTTTTCTATTTTCAAGTACAAAAAGCATCTGAAGTTCAACAGAAAGAAAGTTTTGTAACAGTGTATCATCAATATTTGTATATTACCATGTCATGTTGTGGTTCAATTTTTCCTCGGTGTAAGTTTTATTCTCTATTGTTTTTGGGTATAGTAATGTATGATAATAAGATAGATATAAACAAAAGAAAATAAAATTGAAAACAACTATAAAACTGAACCACAATATATACACCAAGGAATCGTTTACTCTTTGTCTCATGTCTGAAACATAAGTTCCAGTGTCGACACAAGGGATTGTTCAGCAACAGATGTCAAAGATGTGGATTTTTCAGGTTATATTTCACTGTAATACATGGTTTCATTTACCCGCTCAAAGAAGTGGAATGAACTAGATTTTGAAACGATGCAACGATGATATAAAATTAGTGAAGCTTAATGGAAAAACTTGCTGGTTTCGCATTTTCATTGTGTGACCATTGCCAGTCTTTGATTAATGAATAACCACATTTGAAGAACATGCCTGACTTGTCTCCATGGAATGTAGGTAAATGTCATGGGTGTGGGTAAATGATGTTGGTAAAAAAAAAAATTTAGAAAAAAAATAAAAATAGAAACAAATAATGAATTCTCCTCAGAAAAAAGTTGTAAAACATTAATTTTATGAGTTAACCATCTTCTTGGGTGAATGTCATGGGTATAAAACAAAGTGTAGAAAAAAAATTAACAAATAGAAAAAAATGTAAAAAAAAAAAATTCGTGAAACATAAATCTCCACTTACACACCAGTCCCATTCCCCTTCTCCACAGTCGAGCGAAGTAAATAAGCGAATCCTTAGTAGAAATGGGCATTAAAAAGGCATTTAAATTAGGTGCAAAATAAGAGGAACAATGTATTCTTTGTAAACACCTGAAGCAGGCTAAAGAAAAACTGGGGATATAACTGTTCTTTCTCAAAGATGTCAATGTCGCACTGAAACGTCTTGTCAGTTGAAGCAATAATATTCAATCATTTATACAGCAAAGATTTTATACACAAAACAAAGCAAAAGAAGAAACAAGAAAATTATGCTGTATTTCACGCGGATCGATAGGGGTAGTAATTTTGTCTCACACACCTCTTGTTTTCAAATCACCCTGTTTCATAAAATTAATATTTTGCAACGTTTTTCTATTCATTTATTTTATTATTTTTTTTCTATGTTTTTTTTTTACCCACCACATTTACCCACACCAGTGGGCCAGGACCTCTAACCACGACCCACGACATTTAGCTATACTCATTCCCATGCTGAGTTAAGGAAAGATGTGGACATGAAACATTTCAGTGCCTCTGAATATTAAGCTGGAGTGAACGTTTCTCCTATTAGAAGGATTTCAAAATGAACAGTTGTTGAAGTTTAATACTAGTAGTCCTTTGTGATTTCCTAGTGCTGTTTTCGGTAAGAATTAACTGAAATTATAGCAAATGCTAAAAACTTTTTACCTGTAATTTCACTGACTTTTATAAGAAAATAATTATAAGGAAATTTATAATTATTGTAAATTGTACTCATTCTGCTTAAATCAAGCCCGATTTCTCAAGTTGTAATTTATTTTTACGGCCAATAATTATTTCCTCTGGATGTGTAATTGCTACATAATCGACCTTCGCAAAAGCTTATGTTGCTTATGTGCATGACTCACACAGTCATCTGGCATTACTCCGGCAGTGCTCACATGTCCTTCACGCAGTCATTTTTCAAAACTCCAGCAGCGCTTGAAGTGCAGTTAGTTCGCCATTTCTGCAACCCTTGCAAGTCACTAATGCAACGTTGCATGACTCAGCGACGCACATTTCATACAGGAAGTTGTCACTGGTGTACTATTTTCTTTGATTATAAAAGCATAAGACATGAATATTAACATTAGCTGACAACTGACGTTTGCTTATCTGTAAAGTTAAATTGTTTTTCAAAATTTCAGTCTTTCATAAACAACACTGCAAATTGTCATAGTACTGCTAGAGCTCTAGAAATGTTTTTGATAATATTAATTAGAACATCAAGTATAAAATGTATTTTATAATTAAGCAATTAAGCTAGATCACACTTTGTAGACCACATATATGAGCACTGCTGGAGTAATGCCAGATGACTGTGTGAGTCATGCATAAAATTGTGGTCTATTAATGCTTTTATAAAATAACTTCAGGTAAAACTATGAGTTTACCGGCACAATAATACATAGGTTTTTAACCAATCAGAACTTGCATACTATCTTAGTTATTTTATGAAATATATATATTATAAGATGATATTTTTGTCTTGATATTCATGTCTTTAATGATTAAAGACATGAATATCAAGAACATTTTTTTATTAATTTTTGTATTATTAGTAACTGATTATTTTATTATTGAATGTTGCTTATCTGTAAAGTTACATAAGTCGTATAGAAAATTTCACAATTTTTCATAAAGGATAATGCATGCCAGTTGTCATTGGTTTACTATTACAGCTCTTGAAATATTTTTGATAATATCAAGAAGAACATTCTTCTATGTCTTAAGTTATGCTTTTGAGTGGATTTAATTTCATATAATAAGATACCATTTTCTTCAAAAAGTAAGGCAGTAGCCTCATGCAGTCACAGACTGCCTTTTATTGTTGTTGTCTCTTAACCTTAAAATACCTCTCAGATATTCAGGTGGATATACAATGTTTACTGTGTTAAACACAATAATTAACTTAACTTAAACTTAACTGGGCTTACCAGTGTATTAAATAATCTTGTGTCTACCCAACAAAGTCTTTTGGTCTTGAAGAGTCTTTTAGTTTGATTCATATTGTGCTAAATATAGCGTACCAAATTTTTACTTGCTCTTCAGGAAATTTCTTGAGAATGTTCAATACTACACAACAATGCTCAAAACACAAGATGCTAAAACTGTTCTGGAGCCTATAAACGGGGTTCTCAACTCGGGAGGTGGCATTGTAGAAATTAAGATCGATGGCTCCTTAAAGTTAAAACCTGAAGACGTAAACCAGCGTCTAGATACCTTTTGGTCAGCATTACAGCCAAAACTGAATCTAATGGTCCAGCCATCAGCATATGCTGATATCTTTGATCAAAAACGTGAGAAAGACACAATTCGTCTCTTCATCAGAGCAACAGAGCATTTTTGCACAGTGGACTACAATTTGTATTTACCTGGTGATGCAGGACTGTTGCTACCCCAGAAGCAAAAAGTGGTCGATTTATTGTCTGAGAGAGATTCATTTAAGAAAACAGATAGTCCTCAGGTTCCTTTAAAAGACCTTATTTCTTTGGTTCCTGAACAATTCATGTATAAGGAGGTACTGAATTTTCATGAATCCAAACAAGTGCAGCTGAAATACTACACATCGAAAAATGAACTTTTTCACAACAGTAACGGGAAAGCTCGAAAGGAAATTGCAAAACACATCTCTTCCTTTGGAAATGGAATTGGAGGCGTAATTCTCATTGGTATTAAAAACAATGGAGAGGTACATGGCCAAGGTACGGAAACGGGTTCAAAAGAAAAGTTGGAGAGTGGATTCAACGAGATGGTCAAAGAGATGAGCAAGACGTGGAGCTTTACACCCACGCAGGGGAAACATTGGGATGTTACGTTCGTTCCCGTCACTGGTGCCGAAGAACCAAGGTCTGTGATAGTAATACATATAGCTGGCATGCAGAACCTGGGTGGCATTTTCACAGAATGCCCAAAGAGCTTTGAACTGCAGGATGGTTCTGTAAGTGGTGGAGCAGAGAAGGTTGTCATGCTTAGTTTTAGTCAGTGGAACAAGAGAATGCTCAAAGACACATGCAAAGGTGAAAGTGAAGGTGAGTACATTCAGTTACATGGCCATCACTGACTAGCTTACCTAAGGTGATAAGTAATTTTCTCAGGGATATAAAGTGATTGTTAGTAGTTCCATTAGCCTGTTTGTGAGTGGCATGCATTTGAAGTGGAAGAGAGAAAGTGAAAGAATGGGAGAATGGGATGGACATGCACGGAGGTGAGAAAGGGTTCACATCCAGGTTCTCATGCACCCTGATTCCCTCCACTTCAAATTTGGTCCAACTCACACATGTCCTCTAATCCTGACCACCCCTCAACCTGCTGATAACATGGTAATCTTCTGCAAACACAAACCTTTTTCCATCTTGTTGACATTTTTGTTGATAACAATTGACAATTTATTGGCTGATTAAATAATGCACTAGCTAGTATACACTTTATTATGCCACAGTGGTCAGGTTGAAAATTCCAGAAAACTGTTTTCTTCTTTCTTATCGAAGACGCGGATTCTAGTCTGTGTTTGAAAATTTTAATCACAGTACACAGTTAAGAAGACGAAAAATCGACTGACAGAGATTCGAGATAAGAGAAAACAAGTGATTCCTTCAACAAATATTAGCAAACATACCTGCACCTGATCATCTTAACAAGCTCCTTGGCCATTTGCAGTGTTTTTTTTTTCAAAGACCAATGAAAGAAAGATGGAAGCGACTTCGAGCCAGACACAATGTCCAGTTTTTGAAAGACTCCAGCGTCACATTAGCGAGGGAATTGACTGACTAAACTTTTTCAACATGGCACATTTGCATCTTAATTTTGCTTTCAATGGAAAGCCTTTATAATGTGTGCTGTTGTTTCCGTGAGCCAATTAAAACTTTCATTTTCTAACACCTGTCAAATGACTGTCAAATTTGCTTGTCTTGCACTTGTTTCCGGTCCCTCAAACAGGAAGCCATAATAATAAAAATCAAATATGTGATGGATAAAGTCAATATGATACTTCCATGGAAGATCCGAATCAATCATTATTCCCCAATTTTTAGCAAAGTCCTCCATCTCTAATTTTTACTCAAGTATTTGAAGTTGGACTGAAGTACTTGATCTGATCTTTAATATTTCTGGCATATATGTATTATTTGGTTGGTTTATTGGCACACGTTTAAAAAGCTACAATCTAGGACAAAAATGTCCAGAATAATGGCCGTTGCCAGGTTTAGTTTCCAAATAAAACTTTTTAAAATACTGGCAAAAGAAAATAACACACAAAGTTGAACTCGGGCTGGATCTTTTCTCCCCCTGACTGAACAACATTGATCATCAGACATGGTGGGTTGGGGGAAGGGTTCATGGTGGTAACAAATCTGTAGAATGCGTGTCCGATGGGTGAGTAAAACTTTTTTTTTTCAAGGTTGTAAAGTGGTCAATTTCTGGAAGACAGTAAAACTCCACGACTAAGATCCTGAATTTTAAGAACCTGTTAGGCTAAAGTTTGCCAGTTAGGCCTCCTCTACAAAACAACCTGTTTAGCCAAAAATTTGGAACAGGTTCTTATTTTCTAAAATCTATGAAAAAAATTCTGTACACTTGGGCAGTTATTAGATAAGTCAGCATTCAGAATCCTCTTTGGAGACATAAGTGCCTTATCACTCCAACTGCAATTTAAACACCGGTGCGGTGATTATGCTCAATGCTTTAGTTCTTCTTTTAATGGTTATTTTTTCATATCTTCAAATTTGGTATGCAGATTTTATATGAGGAACAAGCCGTTTCCATTACTCTATTTGGGCCACGCCCAAATAATTAGGTGAAAAAACACAACACGCAATACAAAAACAAGTACATCAACCGTCACCCTGCTAAACAAAATTGAAATAATAAAAGGAATGGTTGCAGTTATCACAGTAGTTCCAAAAAAAGCCTCAGTCCCTTTTGGTTTCAGTTGTTGACAATCGTCTCTTCCTTCATCGGAACAGATTTTTATCACAGGCAACTCGCTGTATTCCGCAATGCAAAAATCAAAATCACTATTGTCACACTGATAACCAGCTACACAAATCTTGCGACTCTCAAACTTGTTCAACATTCCTCTGTTCAACCTCTTATCCATTTTACACGTACACTCCTGATATTCCGATTTGTTATTACGTCTATGGGGTCCATGAATCTTTGATGTCTTGAATGTCTTGATAATTTCCTTTGTTTTTCTTTGAGTTCGCGGACCAGCCCATTCCGAAAACACTCAGTGTTATTTTTTAGTGTGGGCCTACCGCGAACAGTGTGTGCATTTGTACGATATCCAAATCGTCCCTCATTGGATTATCCACTCGACCTAACAAAATCGACCAATCACAAAATAAGGAAAAGAAAATGGACATAAAATAAAGAAAACAGCAAATTCAGATAACCTCTTAGGAAACATGCAATTAAAACTGTCTTTCTATGATTGGTGCATTTCGATCCTCTCGTCAAGAAAATGTTAGACGTCAATCATCTTAGCGGACCTCTTAGGAAACGAAAGTTTTCTTCAACAGGTCCAAAAGGTCATTGTTTATGATTTGTGATTGGTGGATTTCGATCCGTTTTTTGAGTTTCTGTGTTTCAAGGTTCGTTGCTTGTAATCTTATTGTGACCAAAACCCGTCGTTAATATTCCAATTATTTTTGATAGATTTCATCCCTGGACTTCAGACTTCCAAATTTCAATGAGGCAACAATACTGAAGATTCAGATTATTTTTTGAGATCGTAAAAGTGCGATTAAGTGCCGTGTGCTTGCAGAGCGTTCTTACCCACATGCCTCTTACCTTGTACAAGACGTTCGCATGCCAGACATTCGCCTCGCTTCGCTTGTTTACTTGCCTTGTTTACATTAGCACGTATTGCGTGCCTATTGCACATTTGCGTCAAAACAAGCCGTTTCCATTACTCTATTTGGGCCACGCCCAAATAATAAGCTGAACCACTAAATGCTCTTAGCTATATTGTTTTTCATCAGAAATTAAGAACCTATTTAAGAACCTTAATAGCTTAAACGTGTGCTAACTAACAATTACATAAGAACTCGTTTAGGCTAACTTGGAAAAATCCAGGTTCTTTGTCGTGGGGTTTTACTGTAATGTTTTTAAAGCCTTAACTTAAAACTGTATGTGAAGGGCTTGAAAACTGACCGACATGAACTTTTTTTCTAAGGTACCAGGAAAGAAAGGGAAAAATTTCCAAGCATGGTAAAACTTTTAGAAGGACCTTTGCGGACTGTCCGAGGTGCTGTTGACGAGATTGTGGAAGAGTTCTTTCCAGGTATTTTTCAGTAAACTGTTTGTAGATCGTCCTTACCTCTTCCCAAAGTAATGACATACACTGTTTCATTATATATAATTTTTTTTGATGCATACTAGGCTAGTGTTAAATTTTCAAAGCTGTAAATTGTGTCATAGGGACCTTCTTGACTGTTGCCTTGCTTGAGGTTGTTTCTAGTTTTTTGCAGGCCAGATCAGAAAGTATGTAACTGATAGTTTAACCTTTTTCTCTATTTATTATCAAACATCAGTCACAGCTTTCTGATTGTCAACACCCATCCAATATACAATGTAATAAAGTATTGTACATCGAAAGCTGAAACTAGGCAAGGTTAGGAAACATCTACATCTACACTTAATTAAGTCGGTAAAAATCGCGACATATCACACCAACTGTTTAAAAAACGAAATTATGCAATAATATAAAATCTGAATAAAACTAATACAATGGAATATTAAAAATTATTAACTAACTTAGGTTTAAAACTATCTACGGGCGTTTGGTATGATTATCATTCATTACATTGTGTTAAATAATACGACTTCCTTCGTTTGCATTGTATTGTAAAGTTCAGTTACAAAAGCACTTATTTTCTGTAAAGAAAGCTGTAGCATGTTTTGATAATATTATACTCGGGGTTCTATCCAGGGTATTTGAGGGTTAGAAGCTTCCCCCCCGAAATGCCCAGCTTCCCACCCAAAAATATTGTTATCATTACAGTAAATAAGTAACTATATCGGAAAAATCATCCAAACGCGACAAGGTCAGTGCACACACTGTAACATTTTTCAAAATTGTGTCTCAAAATGCACCAGATTGCATCTTAGCGCGTATTCATTTCCAAAAATTTTCGTGGGAGCATGCCCCCCGACCCCCCCTAGGAAGAAAACTCTACAAAAACTTAAAAAGAAAATAGATAATGTAATGAATCGATTTAAGGGTTAAGTACCGAGTGCTAAACAAGAGATTATATTCCATGTAATGTTCTAAGAATTACTCAAATCATGAGGACCTTCTCCTTGAGTAACAAATGTGCAGTTCGTCACAATGAACAGAATTCCTTTATCACCACACATATTAAGTAAATGGTCCGCTGTTTTGTAATCAGTGTCTAGAAAGTCAGATCATTTTGGGCTCTGGGCCCCGTATGCTTATGTTATTTTTCCTGTTATTGAGAGATGCGTGACTGCAAAGGGAAATGACAGAAAAATAACACACCCGTGTTACTGTTAAACAACTTGTGTTGCACTGCAGCTAATTGCGATATTATGTTTTGTTTTGAAACCAACCGTCCCTGTTGACTTGAGTTTATTGAACGTATGTAGCTTGCATAGCTGGAGCTTTTGTTGGGAAGGGGGTGATGGAGGGGCGTGCGTGCGAGAATGGGACTCAGTCGCCTGACAAAACCGCAAAACTCTGTAAAAAAAAAAGCAAGTGAAAAAGAAGGTTATATGTTGGTGTCATTTTTTACATTTTCCATTCATTCACAATTTTCACATAGACCATAATGCATCTTGTTTACCCCCCGCCCCCCAAATTTTGCATAACCATCATTTCCAATTTCTCCTGGGCATTACAGTCGTCCGAAGAGAAATCGAAGAGAATGGTTATGCAAAATTTTGGGTGGGGGCGGGGGGGTAAACAAGGTGCATTATGACCTAGTTGAAGATGGTGAATTCTACAAATAGATATGCGCCATCGTGACTTAAGAAGTGTCATTTTTTGCAGGTACCCAGAGTAAACACTCTTAAGGTCTCCTCATGCTAACAGCATTTGTGCATAAGATTGTATCGCGGTTAACAAGGTTTGATTGTGTCTTTGTCATTTTTTATTTAGTTGGGCCCGGATGTCAAGTGGTACCTGATGGGTTTGAATCAAACCTCCCAGAAGAAGCAAAAGAAGTGATACGAAAAATAAAAGGACAAACCACGAACGGCCTTCTTGTAACTTCCTCCTCAATACTGTCTGCTGTCCAAAAAGGAGGGCAACGTAAAGAAGATGGGGTTATATGTGACTTACTCCTCTTAAGTGAATCGCTTGGACGGCTCCACCTTATCTCCCTTGTCAGCAGTGGATCACAAGATCAGTTCTTCCCGCATGCCCGTGCTACAGCCAAAGCTGTGAAGAAAGCCTTAGTGAGGAATGGCGGTTGCTATGAAAAGTTTTACATCACCTGCCAGGTGGTGCTTTGTGACAAAGTAGGAACTGGGCCACTTGATATATCGTCTCCAGACAATCGATATCCTGATGAGTATCATCTCCGTTCATCGCCCCAAGAGTTAGTGAAGATCAACAAAATCCTGCAGTCACTAGTGATAGTTTTGGCGCAGTTTCCTTCTTTTCTTTCCAACAAACAGGGGTTAAAATTTCTTAACTTGCTGACAAAGGAACAGTTTGTGTTGCTTCACAAAAAGATTGACGAACACAGAGAGCTATGGATTCAGGGTGTAGCTGGCACTGGAAAAACCGTAATGGCTTTAGAGTTTATTAGAAGGCTCCCCATCCGTTTCCACAACCTTAAACCTGAAAACATACTGTACGTTTGTGAGACACCTGCAATGCTTCGCCATATAAGGTATGTTTCTTTTAAATTCCAGGGTGAAGGGTTGAATTACGTAGCCTCTTTAAACCTCCCATTCCCCTTGTAGGGATGGAAGGGAATACGATGACAACTCTGCTTCTGTTAATTAACATGAGGTCTGAGTCAACATGTAAATTTATCTCTAGCTGGCCTCTTAAGCAGCTTGTTAACTCTCTATATAGCTGCTATTACGGAACCACAGTGTTTACAGTCCTTTCCCTTTCGCGATATGTATTGTGAGTAGACCACGGTAACCAGTTACTGCACTCGGCGTTTATCTCGTTTATTCCACAGTCAGCTCGTGCGTTTAATTGCTGGTAAATCGTGAACCCTTAAAGGAACAGTATCCCGTTACCGCGCATGCACCAAACTTTGATTTTTGGACAGGATGTCGCGAAATAAAAAGATGCGAGAAGAGTGAGAGAACCTTGAAAAATCCGTTTGCATCGCGCTTGGCCGAGTTCAGTACTACACTAAAACTTCTCAGGATTACAGATCAATGATATATTTTTCCTGTTAAGTTTCGATTTGGGCGAAATCTGGATTTTTTGGCGTTACTTTTATTGCCGTTGGGGGGAGGACCAGAAGATGGGAAGTGCTTTGATGCCGATTGAAGGCTTATTTCTTCTGCTAGCTTCCATACAAGCTCAGATAATTGCGAAAGGAATACGCAGAAATGAAACAGCAACAATAAAAACTGTAAGAAAGGAACCATTGAGACATTGATGTGACTGAAGAGATCTAATGGAGGGGAGCTTCGTGAAGCAGAATGTTTTGCAACGACACGTTAGCAAACTTTTAAATGAACCTCACTACGGCCGACAAAATCAAACAAACAGGCGCTACATGTTTAGAAAAACTAGTGCCATCATGAAATCATAATATAATTTTTGACTAACCTTTGCGATGATTCATAGCGTTAAGATTGCATTTTTATTTATGTCTTTCAAACGTTTGTGGCTAGAACGCGAGCAAATCAAGCAAATGTTACTGGACTTGGAACAATTGACCTCTGACACGAGTTTTACGTTAGAAAAGCGGTTTTTTAAGCGAGCAGAACGAGATTTTCGGATCGCGAGGCGGCCCTGCTAGCAATAAAATCTCGATGAGTGTTCGTGCCGGGAGCCAAATTTTAAATAAGACAAAAGACTTCTTCGAAAGTCTAAAATATTACTTGAGAATATAAACAACAAATCTCCGTCGGCGGTGCGGTCCCGAACGAAATCTTGTCGAGTCAATATGACAGTTCTATAGTGTCTTTTGAAGAAAAAACAGATGAAATTGGGACACTGTCCTTTAAGTCCCCCCAATGAAACCACTCTAACTGCTCGGTAACTGAACTTAATCGAACGTGCTATGCCATCATTCGGATTATACTAGTGAGTCTCTTGTAGCATGTACAAACAACGAAGAATACATTGCGCGTGAAACCAATAAAAAAACATTTTTGAAAAACATCTAAATAAATATGAGGCGTACTTTGATTGGCGAAGAGGTGTGTTTGCACGAGAGTGTGTAAACATAGTTGGGGTGTCCCAGGCCTGTTCCAGGCTTTCAGATAGTGGGAAAGACGCAAAAGTAAAAGGCACCCTGCTCTCCCCAGTTTCCTCTCGTTTTATTTTCGTCTTCGCGCTTTCTCAATTCAGCGGAGCCGACTATCTCGAAGCCTGAAACAGGCTAGGGTGTCTGTAAAACGAGGACCGGATACTTGGGGTTGGCGGATGTTGATGTCGTATGGTGGATGGGAAAATGAGGATAGAAAAATGTGGATGGAAAAACATTCAGTTATGAAAATTGCGAATAGAAACAAAGGAATTAAAAATAAAAAAGTGAAATTTTTGGTTTGCAGAACTAAGGCAAGCAATCGGCAAGCGAACTGTACGTTGGAAGGCAGCTGAAGGAAATCTCAGTTTCGTCTATTCTCAAGAGAGAATGAGCCAAGAGAGCGAATCCCCGTCCCCTATGATAATTATTTTAAATCTTTTTAAAGTGCGCGTGCGTGCTGCGAAGTTTATTTTTGTAAGCTGTTTCCGTGACCCGCTTTGTCTACTTTCACGTAAACGTGACATGTTTAGCCGCCAAACATTTGAAGTTTGACAGCCGTTTAGCAATTGGCGCACCATTGGTTAGCCTCATTCAAAGGGAAAAGTACAGTATCACATACGAAGTACGAAACCTTCAATAAGCGGCTGGCTTCAGTCGTTTATGAAGCCTGTTTAAGGCGTTCGGATAGTGGAGTGCGGCGCGAAGGAAGAGAGCGAGAAAAAAGAAGGGGGAAAAGAGGGAGAGGGAGCGAGGAGGTGGAAGATAATTTTTTCTCCATTTTCAGGAATTTTCTCAGGAACAACACACTTGCTTTTAAGAGTTTTTCTTTAGAGTTTAAACTGCTAACTTTCAATACCTTACTTGCGATGAATATTTCACTGTGGGAAAATATATCAGGTCACGATGCTTGATGCAGTTTACAAAAACAGTCCCTACCCTGGGTGCCAGAGACTTTTTATGCGCGGTTTCCGGTTTAAGTCAAGTCTTTATAGTGACCGGCGAGCCTACATTGTACTTGATCATTCGTCTAACGGGATCAAAATTAAATTGTTTGGCGACCTAAAATGTTATCTTTAAACCCACCAAGAACGTATTTCCTGTTACGTGTTCCAAACGTTGCGTGGACGTCGCCAGAAGAGACAGTTGTCGTTTACAATATAGTATTGTAGCGAGGACCACAATTAGCAATTTCCGTCAAGTCGGAACCTGAGCACTTTCTCTGGCGATTCTTGCAAGCCAGGACCGTTTTGCTCGTCGGCGGTTACTCTGGCCAGATTTTTGCTCGTAGAAATCTTTTAACTCGTCGATGAAAGTAATAACTAAGTTCCCATGTCATACCTATGGGCGGCCGTCACCACCAAAAATAAAATCATGTTAAAACGATACCGCCAAAGAAGAATCGGTTTGTTTAAATTGTAATCCATCAATATACCATTTGCAAAATGATTTCAGTAAAGTAAGAATTCACTGAAACATTTACAGATGGTTTAAGTCATACGCAAATGGTTCAAGGTAAAGTCGAATGATTTAATCGAGAGACTGAAATGGTTTAAAGCACGCGCAAATGTCGCAAATGGTTCAATGTGATGTCGAATGATTTAATCGAGACTGAAGTGGAGGTACGACGAAACAAATAGTGCTCCGTGAAATAAAATTCCGATAAAATGGTTTCGCATGACGTACAATTGTTGGCGCCGAAACCACCAAAAATGCAAGAGTGCAATGGACAAGTCAAGACTGGAGTTGTCTAGTCTATGTGGGGTCTGACGTAATGTTCTAATGTTGGTTTTAACATCGACCCGTGGACAGCTTCTCATCTCAGTCATCTGACCAAATCGTTTGTAGTTTAGGTGAATCATTTCACACAAAACAACCAGACTATTTCTTTTTTTATTTGAACCATTTCGTAATTCATCACCAGCCCATTTGCGTTTTGTCTGTGCTATTTGATATGATTGTATTTTTGGTGGTAACGGCCACCCATAGATATCGCTTCCTGTGCACGATTCTGCCGTGAGTCTCACAATTTTTTAGTTTTTCTCACGACTAGATTCCCAATCTCATGGTTTTTAGAGAAATATCATTCTAAAATGAAATATTTCTTTGTCGAATAAAAACGGAAATGTTTGCTCTTTTTGACAGAGTTAAATTATACCGGTAGACTAACTGCAAATTCATTATCAGCTTACATTTCTAAAATAATTAATCGACGAGTTAGCCATAGGCAGCAGGGGTCTTTTTTCCATTAGCTTCCGCGACCGCTGAACAAGCGACTTGCATAGAGGCTCACCACAGGGTCTGCATTCATCAAAATGGCGCGTCTCAAAGCCGACTCATCGCGAATATTTTGCTCGTTGGTCTTGGCGAATGTGCTGGTGATTTAACAAAATGTCTAATAAATTTGCAAACAAAAAAACTCTAACACGTTCTCAGCAAAAAGCGAATAGACCGGCTTTAACATACCACGAGCTACTATCACATTTTATCTCCCCACTTGACCTGGACAACAGCGCGCGTATATGTAGTGCTTGAAGGATTGCGCTGACCTCATTGACCAAAGTCTAAACAAAGTGCTGAAACGTTTGTTGATGCAAGTAAACACTTCCAATTTTGAAAAGATACTCAATAAAATACATATGCTTGTCAAACACATTTCAAGTCTGACTGGACATGCCAGCATGTGTTCAGTTCAGTAGTGAATTAATATATGTTGTACAATTTTCCAAGCACCTTGATGCTACCAAATTAAGAGCACCCGAGACGTAGATAAGTCACCTGGTGAGATGTTGGTGGTAGTCAGTCTGTATGTCTCGAACAATTTAAAAATGCACATTAATGAGGCACAGTCAAAACTGCATTCAATAGGACCGAAACTAAAGTCGAATCTTTCGACCGATTTTGATGAAACAAACGGTTAGTTTTCCCAAAAAGTACAGTAAACATGTGATGCCGACCAAAAGTTAAAAATTATTGGAGCACTTAAGTTCGGGCTAAGAGCAAATTCCTGTACAAGATGCGTTACAATGTTACTCCACGCAAAAACAAGAACATCTACAATTTTCCGATAAACAAACTTTGTATCGCTAAAATGCTTAAGGGAAAACCTTTCTATTCCAACTGATAACGGCGTGGTAGTCGCCCGCTATTCTTTATTAATCCACTCCCGAAATATGGCTTAATCAGGTATCCACAAGTTATTGACAGAAATCCTCTACGGCATTGAGAAACTAATTGACATCCGATTTATAGACAAACACTAATTAAAAAACATTTTGCTCAACACCTATCCAATTAGCAATGCATTCTATGCCAAACTTTGCGGTTTTTGAAGGGAAATCAAGACACCAGTCGAGCTCCAAACAACAACAAGCAGCCATGTTCGTGTCAGACATCCTTGAGAAGCCTCCTCTTTCACCTCGTTCAGCGCATCAGTCTCCACTTTAAATCACC